GTGGCATTCTTTCTGATTCTCCTCCCCATCCCTCCAGGAGTGAAAAAGCTGTCTGGCTGGGGTTAAACCATGACAGATAGGTACTAACTGATGGGCAGGAAGCTGTGGCTTGTGACTGAAGAAATATGGAGAGATAGGACAAACTGTGTTTCATGATGTTGTATGTGGGCTGGAAGCCAGGCATCCACAGGCAGATTGACAATCATAAACAGGCTGAAACAAATATAAAGGACAGAAAGACCTGGGACTGATCTTGATAAAGATGGTAACTTGTGCTCTAAGTGAAAGAGGGTAAGAAGTGAGGGGTATACAGAAAGGGTAAAACAAATCCTCCAAAGGCAGTGCTGAAAAATGTGAGGATCAGAAGTCAATTTTGTCATAAAAAAAGCAAGCGAGACAAGACTTCAGTGAGAGAAACCACCCCCCCCCATGGCAGGGGGGTTGGAACTTGATGATCTTAAGGCCCTTTCCAACCCTAACTATTCTATAATTCTATGATTCTAAATCTGACTATATGATTTTCAAGATGTCAACTAGCCACTAAGAATAATGATTGAGTCTTGTTTCTAGCACTTGGGACACTTGAGATGTGGGTGAAAACTTTTCAGCTGTAAAACACAAACTGCACTGTAGAACATGCAATTTTAGGAAAATTTAGACAGCAAATGTAAACAGTGTGTTGACTGAGTCTGGAGCTGAATGGGTAAGATGTGTAACTTCTATAAATGCAAGTATATACAGACTTATCATCAAACAGACAAAGGCCTCCTAGGTTGCCAGTTTTTATGGGAAGTCAGTGAACTCTGCCTAATCACTCTCTTGCTCTGAAATCTCCCTAATGATCATTCTAATTGCATGTATATGACAAGTCAACTGTCATTAGTGGTACTTCCCATGAGTCTCTGGAGTCCTCCAGATACAGTACATAATTGGTAACATCTGCTGTAGGTCCACACATATATTTGACAAAAGTGTAGCTCAATATTTCCTTTGGCAATTCAGTTTGCTTTTTTTCCCCCTTATTCTTCTGCTGGTCCTGCTCCTCTTCAATTAAGGGATCAGATCCTGGCCATATTACACCACTGAGGGAAAACATGACTTCTTTCACTGAATGCCCCTCAAGTGAGCGATCCTATTACTGCTCTTCCTAACTGTCCCAAAAGCACAATACAACCTTTTCTGGAGCAGGATCTCACCCTTTTTAAAAGTCTCCATGCAGCTTACCTGTCTCAGCCGGCTTGACTGTGAGGAAGTCTATTCTTAGGATTGTATATACCATTGTGCCAAGACATAGCAGGAAAACAACTGTATGTCCCATAGTATTATTTGTTGCTATTTTCAATTTGCCTCTTATCTGCAATTTTGATGCTTGTCTGTTTGCTCAAAATAATGATGATGAAGTTTTTTAGGACACAGTGCAAATTAGAAATAAAGAGAGCAGCCATGTCACAATGCTATATTACATGGGAACTGAGTTAGAATTATGTGTCAAAAAAAAAAATAAATAATTGATTCTCTGGCTGCCCACCAAAAGTAGAGCTCTTGATAGAGTTCATTTTCATACATACCTGAGCCACCTTTCAGTGTTTCAGAACACGTGTTCACCTTTCATGACTTTTAAGCTGTAGGCTGATTTTTTTACATAGAAGTGAGTCTGGAAAATTCAACTCTTCAAATGAAAATCACCCAGAAACTAATTAAAAATAAGACTTTTTTTCTCTCCTACACAGATACAAGTTCTTGTGCTAAGAGCAAATAGTTGTTGTGATCAGACCAAATGAATTACAGTTCTTCTGGAGCCCTGGGAAGATGATTTTCCTCACCCTCTCCTCCTCCCTTTATACTAACTGTATTAAACAGCTGTTAGTCCGCTTTCACAGATATATGGTAACGAGCATATGCTGGTTTATGGAGACAGGCTGGATGCCTGACAAAATGACCCAAATCTGGTCCTTGCAATAGTGCTGCTGAAAACACTGTTCTAACCTGGACCGAAAGTCAGATTTACCAATTGAAATGTAAATGGTTTCCTGCCTTTCAGTTATTGCAACATATCTAGTGCTACTGTATAAGTGAATGTGAATTGAAAGTGGCTCAGCAAAAGCCTGCTGGATTGAGCAAGAACCTCAAGGGACCGACCGACTGTTATAGCAATGTGCTAAGCTGGAGAATTAAAACCTGTCTCTTTCCCTATTACCCAGAATGTGTTTAGGTGTTTTTGTTTAATTGTGTTTGTTTCCTTTTTCATGCTTTGTCATAATATGAGAATGTGGACAGAAATCTTTCACTTAATGTAAGTTAGAAATAATGATTGTAAATAAGGAAGCTTTAAATTGGTTCGTCCTTGTGACTTGATACATTAAAACCTTGAGCCTCAAGAAGAGGATAAGGAAACTCCATGGTCAGCAAAGAGATGGCGAATACCCTCAAAGAAATACATACAGAGTGATCCTGATAACTGCAAGAGATTTCAGTGGCAGAAACTGAATGCTGGATCACATTGCTCCAGGTGTGAGTGGCAGCTAAAACAATGTTAGAACTGAGATCTCTCATTTCTGTTTAGGTCAGGGACCCTTTTCTCCTTCAAACAGTAAGTTACTGTTCCCCTGAATAGCTCCTTGGAAAGGTATTTTGAATATCACCCTTTTTTTTTGTTATACTTCTGGTTAAATATAAACAGACATCTTAAGAGACTGCTGGTATGAAAGCAGTGGGAGGAATTTTTTGCAGTTAGGCCCAGTAACACCAGGGGTAAATCAATTTCAAAATTCATGTGAAACACAAAACAACACGGCTTAATTATTTCTTACTAGGTAGGCTCTAACTTGGCAGAGTCCCAAAACCTACACTGCGTGAAGTTTTCTGAGCTCTTGGGCTTTGTAGCATTAGCCATAGCCATCATCAGGTTCTTCTAACTGGATGAGGGTTAATATAATATTTGAGAAAGGCTGTTTTGACACAACTGTTTCCAGTTAGAGAGTAGATGTTGAATTTAATCGTCTGGGCTCCAAGAGGTTTTGCCAGAGGCTGAAATCTTGAGGCAGAGCACAAAGCTTTTTTCCTAATTCTGAATAAGGTGATCACAAAACTCAGGGCTTGATCCATTTCACCCAACTTGAGCCTTCTAACTGACATGGCTAAGCAGGACACAAGCCAAGCTGTCCTGGCCAACTCTGTTGTCCAAGGAGAGAGAAGAGCATCTCTAGAACAACTCTTACTACATTTTCCCTCCGGAAAAGACTCGGTCTGCCTGAAGAGGCCCAGGGCACGTACATTCACATCTTAGGCTAAGTTAGCAACTGGCTGAAGCTCTGGTAGTGCTTGTGAACTAATGCCTCAGGTGCTCTTAGGAAGAAATGGTTACAGGGTCAACAATGATAATCTGAATTTCAGGAGACACTGTCTTGGGTTTTGGCAATAAGAAGCTTGGATTTGTTTCCTTTTAATTGGACTTTGTGCTGTGCAAACGTGCATGAAAGAAACTGACACTATTCCACATAACATCATAACTTTATAAAAGACCATAGGTAAAAGAGGAAAAAAGATACAAGGCCACACATGAAACCTGCACAGTGGTGACGAATACATGGTGTGTTTGTGCAGTACCTGAAGTGGGGAACATAAGGAAGCCACAGCTAAAACAGAAGCTTGTGGCTGAAGGAAGAGACAGGCAGAAGATCAGGAAAGAAGAGGAGAGCAGGGAACACAATAGAGAAGCAGCTAAGAATCAAGATTTTTCACTTTAGCCAGTAAATACGTATTTCTCCCACCCACATCTGGAATAATATGAATTTTGGACTGAGAACTGCATTCTTTACTTGCTTAAGACTCTCAGTAAAAGTGTCTTTTGCTCAAGGAATGCAGGATCTAGTGTCTCTGCTGTATGACTTCCGCATGTAGTTGGCAATATTCACTGCATTGAAAATCAAACTGTTTTTTCATTTCAGGCAGCACCTCTTTAAATAAAACACTTTCCCTCCACATGTCCACTGCATATGCTTTTTAAAAAACTTTATTTCAGTCAGAATATAAGAGCAGTTCCAGGAAGCTGGAGATTCTAGATCAAACCTAACTTGACCTTTAGAGCTGAAATGTCCATCAGGTTTAGTAAAGTTCCTAAAACAGAAATGTGCTTTTATTTCAGTTCATGTTGCTGATCTGTGGAGGCTTCCTATCTAAATGGCGTCTTCACTTCGCAGACTACCATTCCTAATGGTCTCCAGGATGTGCAGCTTTTTGCTGAAATCCAAATTATACATATCAAGAGTAAGAAAAACAAAATTGTAGTCATCAAAATTGATTAAAATTATTTTCTATTTAATAATTTTGTGTGTATATAAATGTTTAGTAAAGAGAAAGCTATCTTCTCATATCACAAAATATGAAGTAGTAGAAGTATTCCATTATATTATTTATATTCTAGTTACCCTGTATTTTGGAAACTGAAGCAATGTATATCACATTGTTGGATGGAATTTGTACTTCGGAGACAAAGGTAAAGAAATTAATAGCATCATTTAACCTGATGGTGGAGCAACACAGGGAAGACTGGTTTTGTCAACTATAGAAGGATGATGTAATTGCTGCAGAAGAAGGATTTACCTGCTGTACATGACTTGTGGTGGATTTTCTGTGCTGACAGGTAAAAAGAAGAGTTAGATTAGGAAAGCATACTCTACCCCTGCTGCTTCAAGTATTTAAGAGGGAATATTAAAACTAGTCAATAAGATATAATTTGCAGGACAAATGGGTAAAGGAACTAGCTCTAATAGTTGCTTTTTTTCAGGGAACAAGGGCTGTAGGAATTCAAGCTAGAAATTACACCCTACAATAATGCCCAGCGCAGAGTCCAAGTTAGTAAAAAATGTCATGGACTGTAAGTTAGTGCAGATGTGTATCCAGCTGCTTTTGCCAAACCTCATCTGTCCCAGATGCAAGATTTTATATTTGTCTTTGTTGAACTTCATGCATCAAGCATCTGATGCGTGTTCCACTTCTCCAGCCTGCTGAAGTGCCCCTAAATGCTAGCCTGTGTGCAGAAACGTGGAAGGGTGCCCAAGCATGCAACTTGCTCAGGTTGAAGGACAGCCTCTGCCACCATCCTATCTTGCATCTGCTTTCCCATTATCCACCACTAATCTGTCAGCACACCTCTTCTAGCTTTGCCAGTTTTCTTCCAGCTTAGGTCTGGTGGTACTGCTTCATCCTTCAGTAGCCTATTTTAAAGATCTCCTTATGAGAGTGGCAAGCCTGTTGGCAAAGATATTCATGCCTCACTTTGTTAGGGGAATCCTCTCTGCACCCAACAGTTATCTTTCATCAAAAAGCCTGCAGGAACCTGGAAGTTTCTGAAAAAACACCTTGACATTAATAGCATTCAAGTGTCCATGCTGATCTTTAGCCAGTGTCCCTCCTAACAGTGACTACCTAGAGTGCAGCAAGTAAAGAGTTGCTGCTCTGGGTAATCGGTTAATTTTTTTCAGCTGATTCCCACTGTTCCATTCCCTCTTCCTTCAATGTAAATGAACTGCTTGTGATCAACAGATCATGAAGATAATCCACTTACCTTACTCCTTTTCACATTAATCTTCATATTCATGTTCGATGCCAGTCAAATGTAATTTCTATTCATTAAATACAACAGATAACATCTTCATGTGCTTCTTCCTTTTATACCAGTTATTGTAGAAACTCTAGCCTATTTGCTTTTTGATCTTTGCATTAAATTACTTTATCCCTGGCACTCCACCACCTCTTTTACTGCAGTTCTGCAACTCACATTTTTCTTTGTTTCTCCAGCAAGTCTTTTATGACTACCAGATCATAATCCATTCTTCTCCATTTGTCAGAAAACAAGTTGCTGTATCATAGTGTCACTAATGAAGCCTTGTTTTATTCAGTTATGTCCTCCCTTCTGATCACAATAACCCAAGCTTCCCCTATAGTCTCCATGCCTTCCCACTACAATACATTACCTCCCTCCCACGTCCGACACAATATCCCAGTGTTCTAATATTTAGGCCTTCCTGTAACGCATCGAGTTCCTTCCCCTTTATTTCCTAAATTCCCATAGTGAGTCATGTCCCATATAGTCACAACTCCTCCATATCTCTTGCTTGACTAAGATAATACATAGCGCTGATTCTTCTTTTCCTCATTTGGAAGCTAAAGAAGTTTCTCTTTTCTCCCAAACTACTAATTTTCAGGAGAGTTGTGGGAAGATCATACATCTGAATCCTCTTACTCTCTCCTGAATTGAAGTTAGAGGGTGGATTAAGAGACCATAAGGTGGGTGAGAAGCTAACAGGTATGGGCAGTGTGATTCTGTAAGCAAATACATTTGCAGAGCTTACACAACTGGTTCCTCTTTCTGTTAGCGTCACTGTCGTTATGTTTTTCTTTCTTTTTCCTCAAAGGGACAACTGTAGTGCTGAGAGGCTAATCAGAAACTCTCTTTAATACAGGCAAGGCCACATAAAACTGATACAGTGCTGGCTTTGGCTCCAACCTCAGTGGTAGTGAGAAACAGTTTCTGCCAGGCACCAGGTCAGTGACCTCTGTGAAACCTGCGCAGTATTTGGGCAGCCAGAAAAATCACAAGTTGTTACTTCATCTTTTAGTCCCGAGTTGAACACTTCCCTCCAATGCCACTTCTAGGACTTGTAGGGACAATTCATGATAACTGTTACTAGGTCCAGCTAAGATACTTTTTCATTTCTTCCTTCCCCTAATCCTGGAGATAGTATAATATGGAGGCACATTGTGAACCTAAACAATACACGTACATGTTTGTTCTAGGCTAATGGGTCAGATATAATTTTAGCTCCACTAAAAATACATTTTGTTTTCAAGAGAACCATTAAATGCTAACTTACCTAAACATTGCACTGGACTTCCTTGTCAACTGTACAAACAGAAATGTTTTTCTCCAGTGTTTTCTTGCTAAAAATTTATGTAAAACACCTAATGAATTGATTTGGAGCAGTTTCAGATCCCAAACTGCATTTTAAATTAATATTTTTTAAAGACATTTGATAAGAGAAGATTTTCTCCCAGTATTTTAGTCTCTGGAATCAAATTTTTATGGAGGTATCTTACTTGCCAGTGCTAGCAGGCTAGGAAGAGGTGAACACTTACGTATTTAATCTCCTAATGATAGCTGACATTCAGCTGAAATGCATACAGTAAGAAAAATTGCCAGAAGCCTCACCCTGAAGCTTCTCTTGGATCCCTTAGAACTTGGACTTGTGTCTCACACCCAGCCTTTGGTCTCCACAGGACTATGCAGACCAAATGAAAACACTGTGTGAAAGATGGCGTAAGCAAACACCACACAAAATCATTCAAAAGAGTGGTAAAATATTTCCAGATTTTATCTCCCACAAAGTGAAGGCCCAAAAGAGCCAAATACAGAAACTGACCTCATTTTTCACTCTGAGGTTCTAACATCCAGCACCCATGCACCTTCCACTGACAACTGGCTCCCTCCTATCTGGTCTATGGGCACAGGCTGATCTGCAAAAGCACCAGGCAACACTTGGCTTGGCTTCTCCCACAGAACACAAGGACGAGATGGGGCTTCCCAGTGGCACCAAGTCTTTATTTAAGCAGGAAAAGCGCATCTCCCAGGCCTCTCCTGTATGCTCCAGAAGCAGATTCCCAACGGGAGACTGTGTGGTCACTTCAGAGGCCCTAGTGCCGGCAATCAGGAGAGGCCAGGGCCATCCAGAACAGCTATGTAAAGGAAGGAGTTTAAAGCAAATTTAGAACAAGACTATGCATTCTTCCCAAGACCGCAGCTAAAGACGTCAATTATTGTCGTGCAGCCCTAAGCAACAACTGGTTATTTTGGGGAGACACCAGCCCAAACCACTCCCTGTGGCTGCAGCCCTTCTGTGGGACGAGCGCCGTCAGTGAAATATTGCGTGAAAGCAGGACACTGAAATGCGGACCCCACGTTTCAGGACACGCTATCCCAGTGCCTTCGCTGGGAACCGGTCTGTTCTGCCACATACTGTCAGCAGAGAGCAAAATGCGGACGAAGCTGACGGGTGGGTGTGGTTCACACAACTCCGGACGGCCGCCTCCCCAAGCCCATCTCCCGCCATGCCGCACACGGGCCCCTTGGCGCGGAGCACACCGGGAGCTGTAGTCCTTTGGCCGTACGGCTCCGTTCCTGCTGTGCCGGGTGCAGGCGTTTGCGCTACATCCCCTCCGTCCCGCGGTACCCTGGCGGGCAGCCGTGCTCGCCTTCACCGGGCATGCAGGGGCTGCTGCGGCGGCTTCTCCCACCGCTTTACGCGGCGCGGCCGGCGGCGGCCAGCGCCTTCCTCGCCCAACGGGCTGTACCCGCGCTCCTGCGCCTCATGGCGCTGCGGCCGGCGGCGGGAGCCGGAGAAGGAGAAGGCGGCGGCCTCTTGAGCGCAGGTGGCGAGACCCCGGAGCAGGGTGAGGAGGCGAGAGGGAAAAACGCAGGCGTTTGCGAGGCCCCAGGTTCCGCCTCTCCTGCCGGCTGCGAGCGGCTGCGGAGGGAGAGGCGGGAGAGGTGAACCCGGGGCCTCGCAGACGCCTCAGCGCGGTCCGGGCGCCCTCCGGTGCTGAAGGGCAGCGTGTGGGTCTTAACGGTCCCCCCGTCGTTGCTGATGTCCGTTAGGAGTTAAACGGTCACGTTGGGGAGAGCGGCTGTAAAAACTGTGGCTTGTATAGGCATGTCCAGGAATCGTAAGGAAAGGGCTCATAGTAGGGGCTGTGGAGATCGTAGGGGGAAATGATTCAACGTTAAGTGCGGGCTGTAGCTAAAAAGTCTGGAGTTTGTTTTCCCTGCCTCCCCAGTTCTGTGTCTGGGCTTGCAGTCAGTGTAAACGTCTGACCTGGCCGAATACTAAATCTGCAGGTCTTTTCTCCAGAGTTCTCTGTTTGTTGTTGTTTTGTTTGTTTATTTGTTTTTCAACTCCTTCAGTTCTCGTAACAGTCCAAGCATTGGTGCCAGCACCAGAGGTTCAGAATCCCTGGAGATTAAGACCATCTATTTAAGTTAAATGGTGTCCAAATGATTACTTTGTTATTAAACATATGAACACAAGCATATTAAACATAGAATCATGGAATGGTTTGGTCGGGAAGAGACCTTAAAGCTCATCCAGTTCCAGCCATCTGCCACAGACAGGGACACCTTCCATTAGACCAGGTTGCTCGAAGCCCTGTCCAACCTGTCCTTGAACACTGCCAGGGATGGGGAAGCTACAGCTTCTCTGGGCAACCTGTGCCAGCACCTCACCACCCTCACAGTAAAGAACTTCTTCCTTATATCTAATCTAAGTCTACCCTCTTTCAGATTAAAGCCATTATCCCTTGTCCTATGTATAGTATAAACATATTAAACATTAACATAAACATACTAAACAGGGAATGGTGCCTGGAGACCTAATCCCACTGTGAGCTGTGATGTGTAGGTGTCAAAAAATAGAAGATTATTTGAAATTATCTTAAACTGTAATCTATGTGTGGGGAAGAGGGTGCAATCAAATAGGTTTTATTGTTTCTTATTGTTTGTATTCTCTCCTTTATGAGCTAAGTGTATGAGGTTATTTTTTTTTTTTTCTGTTGGAACAGATGACTTAAATACTGCTGAAGGTCAACAGCCACTTAAATACAAATATGGGAATATCGTATGCGCCTGTTCATATGTGAAATTCAGGCTAATTAATTAAGCATGCAATTAAGAAAAAGGAGTTAATCTAACAGTATGATGGTCAAGGAGTTCCTACAGAAGCTGGTTTTGTTACTCTAGGTCTCAGTTTTTTGAGCAGGCAGAGCAAGGTAAACACTAAATCTGCAAAGTGCACCCCTCAGAGTCCTTGCTCTGTAGCTGATGCTACCTTAAAAAAAAATCCCTTTTGCTCCTAGCTGGTTCTGATTCTGCATTTCTGAGTGGTGTTGATAACTTTTCTGCCTCAAACTGACCTATTTTTTTTGTTGGCTTCGTGGATTTCTGTCTTGCCCTTCACTTCCAGCGAGATCTCTTGCAAGGAAGGGCTGTTGTTTTCTGTATGCAACAATCTGTTTTGTGTGAGCTTTAATCTGAATGTTAAATACGAAATTCATTATTGCTCTAACATGCTTGTAGTGCCTACTTCTTTAGTGTCAACAGAGGGAACAAGCAACAAATACTTTGTTTCTCTTTAATAGCCTCCAGGATAAAGACAGGTGTCAGATTACAACCACAGAGTGATTATGACTCTCTACTGTAGACTGGAATGAATTAGCATTTGGTCAGGTTCTTCTTTTACTTATTTTCCCTAGCATAAAGCGATATATGCAAGAAACATTCCATGGGATGATAATAACCCAGACTGGGTCTGTAATGTTTATTTTTATATATGTAGTGTAGCTTTGCATGACCCAAGAATATAATATACACTTTTGCTGCCAAATTTTCCCCATGGGCCGGATTTGGACTATCTGCACTGGTCACAAAAGGAGCTTTGAAAATGCATTTTCTGTAGTAATGAGCTGTCCTGGGATAAACTGCAATTCTGACATAAGGCTTCTTCCACTACAGTAATCCCATTGTGGGGTTGTCCCAAAAGAGTATTGCTAGATGCCTTGTTATGTGCACATTTTTTTGCTGCTAGAGAAGATTTTATTCTTTTATTTTTTAAGGTATAACTCAATACGCCAATATTAGAGTTTACTGATGCAGAAACATGAAGCAGGCTTAAGGAAATGACTCATGCTTAGTTAGTACTCTTGGGGAAAAAAGACATTTTAAAAAACTTGTTAGTGGAAATTATTCTGTCATTGTGGTATTCCTCTGAGATGGAACTGCATGCATATCTTTATACATGCAAGATGAAGTTTGATTTCCATTGATTCCTTCTTTAGCTTAAATACTAAAAGTCAGTTTTCAGAGTGAGAAGTTCGGAACATTGCTGTCTGTAATATGTTCTACAGTGTGGGAGATGCAGGGGTAGAGTAATTGTCTCGTGTCTAAATGATGTAGTGAGCTGAAAACTTTGTTATATAAGGAATGGTAGGATTCCCTTCCTGTTCCTTCAAGCCTCATTTTCTGTGTGTTTACACATTGGAATTAATTTGCCAGTGTTTGTCTGCACTGAGTTCATATGCCATGCAGTTTTCCAAAGTGAATGTTATGTGATGTCTGAAGACTTTGTTTTTTTTATGCTCAGTTGTATCATTTTTTTTCTTGCATGTAATTGCTTTCACTTAGAACCAGACAAGACCAGAAACTATTTAATTAGAGTGCTCAAGTTCCTTGTTGTTGCTGTTCCACACAAAGCAGTATTTTGCTGATATGTTGAAAAGGAAGAAGAGTGGTATTCTGAAGGGGCTTATATGTGAATGTTTATTTATGATAATTACAGAAATATATAGTTGGTATATTGTCTGTCTATAATATCTCTTCACTGTCAAAACCTAAGATCCAGTGTGTTATTTTAATATATTTCAGGTGGGCTAGAAAATGTACAGCAAAAGAAAATCTTTGAAGAGAATGAGAAAGAGACAAAACAGATGGAAGAGCCACGTCCTGCTGATTCAGTAGACTCTTTGATGGCAGAAATGCCATTTGTCGACACAGATATTGAGGATAAGTTTATTAGTAAGTACATTAAACAGTAGTGTAGAAGCATAGACACATCATGCACATAGCGGGCTGTGCACATGGAAGAGAGTCTCTCTTATTAGTATTCAGTCCTGCAAATATTGGAGTATATTAAAAATTTACCATTTGGGGATCCATTGCAGCAATGAGTCACAGAATAAAGACACCTTGTATGTCACATTACTGTATATGAACTTCTCAAGTGACAGCTTTTATGAGCTCTCTTCCAATACGTATATTCCCAACATGGGGCTAAAAGTACACCTCTAATTAGACAGTGGATATCTGCAGCCTGGTCATCTTACAGGTATGTATCAGGCCGCATGGTGGGAGAGGGTCTGCAAAGGCCTGAGGAAGTAGACGGGGGAAAAATAATTTATGGTGCAGAAGAAGAATTGAGGACACACACTTTCACTGTATTGGAAGGTGTCTTTGGGAAAGAAGGTAGAGAATAGATCTAACTTGGATTAAATTTTCTTCTGGGCTGGGTTTGGTCCTTGAACTATAGGTTGGCCACTCCTAGTCTAATACAACCTTTTTCTTTAATATTCCTATGTATTATGTAATATTGTCCTTTCTGTTTCAAAATGCAGCATGCGTGGGATTTTTAAAACTTAATATTGGCCCTTTTGCTCTAAAGCCATGTCCGTATTCAAGTGTAGACAATTTGGAGGTCCGTTACACTGGAGCTGGCTACATGAAACACAGTAGTTTGGAAGCTGCATGTCGATGTTAGCAGCTTGTAAACTCTGCTTAGTAGTGTAGGCTCTTAGTTCAGGTATGCTCCCCACTTGTCTAACCTACAGTAATTCAGGCTGGAGTAGGATCTGCCAGTTCAGAGCATGGGCAGACTAGATGGCTGGCAAGACACCTTCCCGTCAGTTAACTGATGTCCAGCTCCTTTTGTCATGATACTGTGATTTTGGTTTGATTTTCTATGTGCTGAAAGTAATTTTTTTATCTCTTCAGTGCACACAACCTCTGAATTAAATATAAAAAAGAAAAGGAAGAGGACTACTGGGAAGGAAATTGAGGAAGACACTGAGAGAAAGAAGAAAAATAAAAAACAGTATAAGCCAAATTATTTCATTTCTCTTCCAATTACTAATCCAGAGGTGAAATTCTTTATTATACTGATTTGGTATAATCAAATTATTTCAACAGTTGCATATGTTTATAGAATAACAGTGTTTGATCTTTAGCAAAATAGTTTTTTCCACGTAGTTTTAAAGGAATGTTAGAAGCCTATTCAAAGAATAACTTTATATTATGTAAGATTTTTGTGAATAAAATTGCCTACCTCAAAAAGAGTAGGGGAAAAATATGTTTTTATTCAGTTTGTCAGTCTTACGGATTTAATCTTATTTTGCCTGAAGTTGGCTTTGTACTGTTCCAGTATTGCTTATTTTGTCATTTACTTAGAAAAAGGGAGACATTCCTATTTAATTTAGTAAGAAAATCCCTAGCAATACTTTTAGCTCTCCTTAGGTAGGAATTTGAATCTTTTACTGTTTTAACTGGTCAGTTTGTAGTTTAACATTTTCCATCTTATTTAAAATTCAAACAGTCCATTGTTTTAGTGAGATAATGTTCAAATGGATTCAAGGAATACAGAGAGCTCTTTAACAAAATGTATTTTCTTGTAATAGCATGTGTTGTCTGATTTGGACAGCAAATGAGAATGATTTCTTGCATGCTGCAGGATGTCTGGTACACCTTTGATACCTTTTCTGTCTGCAAATGAGGAAAGTAGATACATAATGTTAAACCAATCAGTTTACCACCATTTCCAAATTTAGGTGTATTTTTTAATACCATAAGCTATCTCAAGTGAATTATAACTCATCATACAGCTATACTATCTGTTCTCTGACAAAGTCAAATATTAAAAATGCCAAAATGAAAATAAACCAACATAGGTTTGAAAATTACAGTGCAGCCTTTGAATCTTTAAAACATACTGTGTGAAGAAGAGATTGCAGAGGCTAGTTTCGTAAGATCCAGGGTAGCCTGACACAAATATGGTGGGAGATCTTTTGTGCCATCTTAGTCTGAAATACCTTTTCTTCCTGTCTCTTCCATGAGTTAACAAGTGCAAGAATAATGTAGGGGTTATATAATCTGATAATTGAGATTTCCTGCTCACAGTTGTTACTATGGCTGGTTAAATGGCTGGTTGAGTGGAAAATTCTTAACTGTGCATGCGTTTTTATATATCATGTACTTAGCCTTATATAATTTACAGAGGTAAAAGAGCAACTATACTGGATTTCAGAGCATTGGGGAATTCCAGGACTTTGCTAGAAAGTTTTGTTTATACTTGCCTCCTTATATGTAGAGTTGTTCTGAAACAGAAAATACATGTTGGAATTTGTATGAGCAACAATAACCAAAATTTAGACTTAAGACACCTGGTTTCTTGATAGCCAGAGGGAATCTGATAATTACTGGTAGTATTTCAGTTAGTAATGAGAGACCTTTTTTTTTTGAGCATCTGATTTTATTTTACTGAAGCGTTTTAGGCATTAGAACTCTATATTTTATGTCGCATTAAAAGCTTTACACAGAGAATAATTTTGTAATAAGGGATGTTTCTGGACCATTCAATGAACTCTTCCTCTTGGAAATTAAACTCTTTTTTTTCCCTTTTTTCATTTTAATTATGTGTTGAATCTTCAGAAATAAAATGTGGTATACCATTAATTTTGAATTTATCTTGAACTTTGCATTATTACTTGTGCAAAAATAGTTAAATGGATGATACTATTGTATCTTGTAAATTTTTTTTAAATTGTGTTTCTTCTGATGAAACCACTTGGTCAGTTTGCCTTTCAGCGTCCTCCAGTCTTGCTTATAATTATAATTAATCTGTTAAATCTTTAAAGCTTACAGTCTTTATATTCACTTAGTAATAGCATCCTTGCAGTAAGCAGAACTAAGTTATTTTCTTACTCTTCAGAATAACATATGCCAAGTAATGAGAGAGAGGACTTTGAAATCAGAATTTTGAGGCCTTATTTTGGAGCACTTTTTAAAATAATCTGAGGGGGAAATTGTTAAGTATGATCTGCCTGCTGACATTTCTTTAAGTTAGGAAATATCAAGTTAAAAGAAATAGCATGATAGCAGTTGATATGTAACATAAAACTCTGTAAGGTAACGTTAAGTAGCAGGTTAAATAGCAATTTAAAGTTTTCATTTATGCAGTGGGTCATAACTAGTTATACAGAGAAGTTGGAAGAGTCCCGTTTGACTTAATTAAAATTCAACACACTCAACTGTAAATTGTACCTTAGATCTATTGAAGAAAACAGAATGAATCTGAAGTTTTAGTATGCATTGTGACGGCACAGCTAGGCTACAGCTATTGTGTTACATTTTGACAACATAACTTCTGGGAAAACATATTAAAAATAAACTCCTGAAATTCACCAAAAAATATTTTTTTTTTAATTAATTCCAGATAGTGTAGATTGTGTAGAATAATGTCACTTTAGGCAGACAAAAATAACCTACAGTCTTCAATAGAAATTTTGCCTTTATCCTAAAGGCAGCGTATTTCATACTTTCTTGGTGGGTTCAGCAGTAGCTTGTCTCTGAAACTGATAACTGTCCATCTTTGGAATTAATCCTGTTCCAAAGATATGTTATTTGTTATGTTATTAGCTTGATTTCCTAGTGGATTTTATATAGATGTGAGCCTGCTTATCTGTTTGCCTTGTTGTAACCCCTCTGGGGTTTTGTGCGTTTTCAGCCTTTACACCAAAACTCATTTATCTGTTAGGTCTTGGCTTACCATGCTTTAAGAAGTAACTCATTTTGTCAGATGGTCAAGGTTACTTGATTTAGTTTAATTTCCAGTAACATATTCAAGAATTGTTTCAGATTTTTTGTTTTGTTTTGTTTTGGTGGTTTGGGTGGTTTTGATTTGTGTTTTGTTTTATTTTCTGGCCTGGTTTGGTTTTTTGTTGGCCTGTTTTTTGTTTTTTTTTTTTTTAAATCACTACAATGAAACTGTTACAATGGCAAGCACAGTTAACATTTTGTATACAATTTATAAAGCAGGTATAGCCATACAAGTGATTTTCAACAAAGAAAACGTAATTCAACTAATTTTAATGAAAAAGACTGAAGTTTGAACTGTGCACACGTTGTATGGAATTTCACTAAAATATGTTTGAAGAGAATATATAAATTATATCTGTCTATTGGGTAGTATAATCAGAATTCTAGATCAGGTATCTCTACAAATTATTACTAGATATTCCTGTTTTGTATGATCCTGTGTGCCTGATCCTGAAAAGTGTCTTTCCAGACATGTCTGCACATAGCACCACACAAATTTAGCAAAGCAGGCAGAGAAAGTCCTTGAAGAAGCTTTTTATTTGGATTAATGGCAGTATAAAACTGATTGATCTTAATCTTTTCCATGAATTTATCATACATATGGAAGCAGACTCCTATTAAGATGTGATGGGGAGTGTCCAGTGATTTATTAATCACTCCATTTGTACCCACTTTGGGTTTACTCGGCTCAGTTAACACAGCTTTGTGAGAGGATAAAACTTTCTTCTGCTAGAATGGTTTTTACATAAAAGTTTGACTTCAGTTTGTGTGTTTTCTTTTCACTTGCATGATGGGATACAGTAATTGTAACTGCCAACTGTTGTTTCTATATCTTTCTTCCCAGATTAATAGGAGTATTCAGGCTGTCCAAGATGCAGTAATACAAAAGGATCAAAGATTTTCCAAAGCAATGGTTCATGCTGGCTCATTGCATGTCACCATGTTCGTGATGCATTTATCCAATGAAGAAGAAATTAGCATGTAGGTATTGGGTGTTAAATTATATACAAGTGTTAAATTATAATTATAAATTATAGCTACATAAAAATTATTTTTATTTTATTTAAATTATATGTATATATAATTATAAATTATATGTATATATACAGGTGTTAAATTATATACAAGGCCTATACAAGTATTCTTGATGGAGAAGTTAATAAAAAGGGGTTCATAGAAGGGGTAACTGATGGTTATTTTTTGCAATACAGGGCCTTAAAATACTAGGGTTACTGAATATTTAATTCTTGTTCTTAAAATGCTAATCTTAATGTTAGTAATTTTCATAATTTGCAGTATGTCATGAGCTCTGAACTAAGTATGAATTTTTCCGTTGCATTTTCCTTATTGTGTGCTGAACTTGCATACACAAATCTCATGTTTGCTAAAGTAATCATTTTAAAACAGCCTTTTGTTGCAAAGCACAATGAGCAGAGTATCAGGGGAATTTTCATAGTTTAGCAAATGTTATAAGCCAAATTAGTAATTGTTGCTGAAAGATTTCAATGAAATAAACCCTAACTCCAAGGTTTTTTATGCCTCATGCAGTTACAGGTTTGCTTCTTTTTTTTTCCAATGTCCCTAAATGTATTATGCTCAAAATTTAAGTACACTTAAAAGAGAGGTGGCTATTAGGCCTTATCAAAAGTATAATTTTTATGTTACTTCAGTGACATAGCTGATTTTTTTTTATCATATAAAATGTAGAAAAGTTGTGGAAAGATGTACTTATACAATGATGTCTGTCATGTCTAAGATGCAACTGCTTCCTTTATAAAATGCAGTTCTTTGGTTATTTTTTCACTATTTATCACAGGCCTACTTCAATGTACAAATTTAGTGGTTGATACAAAGATGTTCAGACTTCTGTCTATACAGCTGTAATTTATAAATGTTCAGAATAATAATTTTTGTGTCTAGTTGTAATTTTGAAATGAAAACAAACAGTGTATTTAATAGTCCTACTTTACACAGACTTTCTTGGCAGTTTCTGTTTAGATGTAGTACATAATGGCATGCATATGTGGTGTCTCAATATTCACATATTATAATTGCAGAATTGATATCGCAAACACTTTGGTAACCAACAGAATACTGTGTGAAGTGCTGATAAATGGCCTACTGGCATTATAAGAACATCTGGGGATCCTCTATTGCTTATGTGTCAGTTTTGTAGTGAATTGCTAATGAATTAAAATTCATCATATCCTTTTCAGTCTGTGAAAGAAAAGCCTCATGGTTTCGTCTCCCCCAGATGTGTTCTTTCAGGGCCCCTCTGTCATACATATATGTGTGTGTGTGTGTGTGTGTGTATATATATGTATATGTTTATCTTACTGGCTTTCTCTGCAGTGTTAGCACGCATGTGGTCCATGTACTGAATTACCTAGATAAAATATTGAGTAAGTGCAGTGAGACATTGCTTTGGTTATGGTACAGTTACAAAATAATGTGTCTAATAAGCATATGTTGAATATTTTTTTCCTCCAAAGGTTTGGCTGTTAAAGTTCATGTTGCTCATAAGAAAGCAAGAATCCAAGACAGAACATAAGAACCATTTGGTAGTCAAGGGCATGCTTCTAAGGAGGAGTATTTTAGCTAAAAATATATAACACACATAAAAATGATGTACACCAGTATATCTAAATCAATTGCCCTGCTTGTTTTTCACACTCATTTCCTTGAATGCTATGTCCTTGAGGACTCTACACTGTGAGTATGCAAGTCTGTCAGCAGCCTTGTCTCCAATGATCTGATCTAAAGGGAGAGAAACAGGCAGCCAGGAACATAGAATGTAAAGGAAAGCAGAGGATATTACATCTGGTAGACTCTCTTCTCTCCATGTGCCTTTTGTCTCCTGGGGTAGACACATCAGCTTCCTCCTGCCCTGCTTGATGAGCAAGCTGTAGTAGCACTTGAACATGGGTGAGAACAAACACTGACTGCATACCTGAGTTTATTTTAAAAAAGGGTTTGAAGCATGAACTTTTTAAAAAGAGAATGTGAGAGGATATCTTGAAGGCAAATATGCCTCCTCATAAATACTTTTTAAGTCCTAAACTATTATCAAATGAAGATTCTCAAATTCAGTATACTCTGCTACTCCTGGAACTCCTCAGCTTTCATTGTCTGACTGCCACGTAAACACTTACTTACGGAGTTCTTCTCTGCCTCTCCCAGCAGAACTCCACAGTCGAGGCACCCAGGAGTTGTCCTTCTAGTCAGAAGCAGCTTCTCCAGATTCACCCCCTTCCCTGGCCAGATGCCTCCTGTATGCATCTAGCTCAGATATCTTCAGGTATTCTAGATTGCCTTTTCTATTAGATGGGATTCTGCTTTCTTAATCTTTTGGGAGAAATTGAAGAGTAAAAAAGTTGAATTTTCTTTTCTTTCCTTCACCATTTTTTGATAGCAGGTTAATGGGAAGAAACCAAGATCCAGGCTGGCAAAAGGACCTGTGTGTAATGTAGGCTGATAGTAATCCCTCAAATAAAGTGCAGGTAGTCAGTTGAGTATGGTAGAGTTCACAGATCCTTAGGTTTGGATCCATAAAATTACTTAGATATCTACAGTTTTTCTACTGTACAATAGTGCCTCTGTCTATACAGCAATGAAATGTGTTGAATGCTATTTGTAGTCAAAATGCGTGATAAGAATGTGCTAAACGTAACATTCAATTCAGCACAAAGCCCTTTGTATGGTATTTTAGTACATACAGCTTTCACCCTGAAAATGGGAGATCTGTATTCCAGGCCACTCTTTCTAAGGGAATCCAAACCTGCAATACCCATGCGAGTTTCCTGACTGATTTGCTGTGCTCTAACCTTCATGAATGCACTTTGCATCTCTCTTTGTAGGACTATATGAAATCAAGAATGTGAGATTTTAAAAGCCATAAGGAAAAGCAAGCACTCCCTTAAAGCAAAGAAGTTCTGGTGCATGATAACTGTGTGCATAGCCATGTGATCAGGTACCAGAAATCAGGATACCTGCCTTTGCAGTAAATGCCTTCATTACCAGACCATAGTGTCAAGTTCTTCTTCCTTCTTGTATGTAAAAGACTCTGTGAATCTAACCTTTTCATTACAAATATGAGGGCTGGAAGGATTCAGTTTGGTTTTTGTTTGTTTTTTTTTTTTTTTCCAGGTTTACTTTTTCTGACGCGTAATCAAAATTAACAATTCAGAAATTTCTAAAAAAAAATCACTTAGAATTTAAATGCTATAATGTTAACATTACAACAATATAGAAAACATCAGGCACTGCTTCTGTAATCCTAGTTTGTATTCACTTAGAATATTCTGCTTAAGGCTTTTTTTTTTTTTTTCTTAATTCCCTTTCCCCACTTCGGAGCAAAATGCTTGTAAACTTTTTTGTTATCCCTGAGGGTTAGCTGCATTGAGTGTAACTACTGTTTGGCATCGTAAATACTATTTGGTATGAAATAACAAGAAGATAGCACTGTTGTTTTTGTTACTATTGACTTCAGTAGAAATGTTTGTCCTTGTGCATTACTCTTAGAAAGCATTTGTTAGATGTTATAAAGTGATTGATAGAATACAAAAATACAAAATATGCTAGAGTGAGATGACAGCTATTCTTCTAAATATTTTACTGTATACAAGATTACCTATTAAAGAAAAAGAAGAACTAAATCTTAAGTGATGCAGTGCTAAACTGACAACACACTCCACTCTTTAAATTGACCTTTTATAGACCTAATCAGGTGGAGTTGACCTGGTCAGTGAGTTCTCCTGTGCATCCTAAAGTATGGAAATATAATACTTTGTTCAGCTGGGGATCAGAGCTTTCTATGGCTCTCTGTATACAGTTCTCAGATGCAAAAAAATCCAGAGATTGGTTTTAGGTATTTGCATGATTCACTGCTTGGAAGCCTGCTGCAGTCTGACACAGAGTATTTGAAATACCCTTGGACTATTTGGTTTGGAGAAGTTTTCAGGTTCATGTGAATAAATAAACCTACACAATTACCTGAGAAGTAATCTGACAGGTATAATCAATATTAGATGGTGGGTTTAAAGGGTCTTGAAATATAGCACATATGGAAGACGCAAGAACAGGCTTGTTTAATGGTAATAAAAGGGTATCTAAGCGGCAGAGATTATGCTGAAAGAAAAATATCTTTGCTAAGGAACAAGTAATGGCATTGTTGTTTAAAGTGGCTATATAGGATATGAAGAACTTGGAGGCTGTAGATTAAAGTTGCATAAAAAGCCACAGGAGGACTACATCAAATAAAGCTATTTTGTCATGTAGTCTACCTTAACACCTTTCTTATCCTAGCCTAGGTTTCAATTAAATGTATAGTTCTCATCAAGAGTCCATCTTGTTAAACACAATGGGAACGTGTATAGCGTTGTTTGTAATTGTACAGGCTTAAAGACTATAATTTAGCCTGCTTTAGAAATCATAGTGATGGTTTTCATCCAGCTAGGACAGAAGTGATATAAACTCTCTTGAACGTTTTTAACCTGTTTCTGCCATCTAGCGTTCAGAAAGTAAGAGTAGGTTTAGTGGAAATTCCGTTTCCTTCAGTAGAAGTAAAAACTGTGAGCGTGTGAGAGCGCCTTAGAAGCACACTAAGAATGCTTATATGGTTTTTGTTTAGCAAGTTAATCACTTCAAGTCAAAACGAATACTTCATGTAGTCATATGTACACTTAATGTGGCTAATAAGATTATTAAAAAGCTACCAGGCTTGCACCACTTTCCTAAGTTATATGTACATTATGTGTGCGTGCTGCTTATCCCTTAAATAAAGTAAGCATCAGTTTAGAATGCTACTTCTTTTAATAACTGGAAATGCCTGATAGCTCATCTGAAAAAAATTAATTAAAATTAATGAAAAAAGTTAATTACTTTAAGAATGGAAAACCAAGGGCTTCCAAGTAAGAATCTTATTCAGATGAGATGTACAGAGTAATAGAACCACTGTCGTTGTAATATGTAGTCATGTTGAGGACTGAGATACACTCTTTTGAGGAATTACAACTGTTGCCAGGTCTGCCTTATTATTTCTGTGGTTTTACAGCTGGGTGTATGAACTAGTTTACCTTTATTAAAGGGTAATAATACTGAGTGCGTTGGCAGGAAGTAGTGCAAAAGTATCTGAGTAGATAATAAGTTGATAGTAATAAAACTTTGTGATTTTTTTTTCTTTTTTACAGAGAATCGTAGAATAATGATTACTAGCAATGTAAACAACTTTCAAATAGGTATTTTCTTTTCTCTTGACAGAGCAGTTGGCGCTCTTTCAGACAGCAAAGATTTTATAGAAGATCTCCTGAAAGGAAAAACTGTGGATTTGTCTTTTCAAGGGATTCATCACTTCAAAAATGAAGTTGGATTTGTGAAGTTGACAGAAAATGATCATACAGCTATACTTAGAGAAATAGCAGGTACGACTTGTCAATCTAGTTTAAATGCTTTAAAAACATTTTGGTAACCTAGATGAGAATGGAGCACAAAGATAAATTGGTGCTAATTTAGTCAACGTTAATTTACCGGTCATGTCTATAAGGGCTACGTTACAAATTTCCCAGCATATTTCAAAAGGATATTAATGAATTACAGGCAGTATTGTTCTATGATACCTTTATACTTAGTAAATGTAAAAAACACAGTAGTTGTAGATGAATATAAAGATTATGTTCTGCCTTGTTTTGGTCCAAGTACCATCTGCTGTTTCTCAGCAGATATTTGTGCGCCTTTCAGTTTGCAAATTCGTACTTCCTGACTTTGAGAACTGTATCCTTGGTACATCTTACCTGGCTTGCAAAGTTACATAATCCTCTCATTTGTGTTTATTCTGAGTAGAGCACTGAGGGACAGTGATGTTCTTTCATCTTCCATGATCTGGAGAGTCTTTTAAGTTTGCGTTTCCTGCATGTTGCACATATCAGTCTTAAATCTCAGTCAATGAATTGTGACTTACCACTCCCACATGGTAAGCGCATATACAGACACACACACACACGTGTGTGTATAGGCGTATGTATGTACTTTATGCATACAAAATAAATGTAATAATAATGGAATCATAAAATGTACTTTTATACTTCCATATATGTATAAAGTAAAATCTGAGCTTTCTCTGCACCCCTGGAGGAATTGGGGGCATTCAGGAAAAGGACATGACTTGTCTGCCAAAGTTGGATTTGATGCTGCTTTCGCTTGATGATTTTTTATTTTTTTTTAAGCAGTTGTGGAATCAGTCTGTGGCTTCTTCAATATTAATTGCCTTCCTGTAGCAAAGATGTGGCAGAAACATGCTACTATGAGAGCAAACATCTCAGTTCTGTTTTCCCAGTGGAGCTAAAGCTACTGCCTTTGCCAGTCAGATAAAATGCATCCAAGGATACAGTTCAAGTCAGTAGGAGTCTATAAATTAAAAGGAGTATAAATACCAGCTGAGAAACAGCTCTCAGTACCTAGACCAAACCAAGGTGGAGTGGAGTTTTTATCTGTCTATGAGTCTATACTTAAAGTATGTTGTTTACAGATCCTAAATAAAAATTTTCAGAGAACAGTTTTGATTATGATTCATTGGTGTCCTTTAAAACTATCCCGACAATTCCAAGTATTCCTTGGAAAAGTTTCTTTAAAAGAGTTTTCAGGATTGATGAATTACCTTTTGTGCTCTGAGGAATGTGGGGTCACACCATTTTTTAATAGTGCAATAACCCATATAGGACGTTTTGCAGAGCAGCAAAGACTGCTGCTGTCACGCTACCTCTTTGCAGTCCAATACAGAGGAAAAATGGGGAAAGCCTTTATTATTAATGCAGGCCTTTCTCTAGCAATTCATTAGTTTAATTTCTGAAGTGCCTTTAGAAAATATTTAGTATTTTTAACTTAGGTTTTAAAGAACAATTGAAGACTGTGAGCTTTTCAGCTTAATAAATTGCTTATACTGTTATTGGGGAATGCTTTATTATTTTAAGCAGTGCTTGATAGCAGTGTACTTCTAATATTCAGTATGGTAGAAATGGAATGATTGTTAGAGTTCCAGAGAGGCTTCAGTTGTCAAATAATCCTATAATTGTTTCCTAGATTGAATCTATCAAGTATTTCTTCAGTCCTTTGGACAATATGCTTCCTCATCCTCATCTTTGAGTTTGTCTTTACATTTCTTTGAGGGTGACAGAATATTGTATATGTGCTGTTCTATAAACTGAGATAATTAATAAAAGGTATTCCCATTCAGGACCTCTTGTGGAAGGAAATGAATGCTTTTTGTTAGTGACAGAAACTTGATTTTGAGAAGTTTATAGTTAAGAACTCCAAAATAATTAATTTGCTAGACATGGAGAGATAAATATCTTTTTAACTATAGGTAATAAAGGAGTTTGTTATGCGTGATTTTCTACACATCTGAGACTAGTGAACCAGATTTCTATCAAGAATTAGAAAAGATGAGATCAGATTTTGACCTGTTTTTCAGTTTGACAGTCCTTAGTAGACAAACTCGTAGTACAGTTAAAATTTAGCAAACAAGCAAACCTATGTTTGTAAAGCATGATTACTGACACACACTGGTGAGCACCTCTTTGCTTGTATTAGAACTACAGCTGTACATCATTATTTTCACAACACTGCTGTTTAGTAAAAACGTTTCTTACTTCATTGCTAAATTTTGCCAAACAGCAAAGCATTTCTTGGCTTTAGGCCTGTCCTTCAGTCTCTACACTCCTGCAGTGATGTTTGCTTTCTCTGGCTTTAGTTCTGAAACAAGGTAGGAAGCTGAACATTACCAGGAGAAAATGATAAAATGACTGGAAATGTTTAGTGGGCATGACTTTAGGATATGCTACCTTAACATTTCTTAGTGACTGTTGTAACCTAACTTCTGAATTGCTGCTGATTTTGGAGTATCTTTTTGTGCTTTCTTGAAAGTGCTAATATTATTTTGTAACACATAACCTTCGTGAAAGCAAATTCAGTTTTTATATTGATGCTTTTGCCAGAAGAAAAGACTTTACATCTGTAACTAGGTAACACTGAAGATTATACAAGTGTGTTTCAAAAGTTAGCTGAGTTACATGTCAAATTAGTGGAAAGGCCAGGTATGAGCAGGAAGAAAATGAATGCACTGAATAGTTTCTATGTATGTCTTCATTAGATTAAATAGCAAAGCATTTAATATAAGTAACCTGGTAAAAACAGATGATTTCTTATTACATAGACACCCTTCAGGGCAGTGCAGTTTGGAATAGAAAATAATATTAAATGAATCCATCTGAACTCTTCAAAACTGGTGAGGTAAACAACAGGCGTTAGGATTCTCTCCCCTTTTCAAGCGTATAACATGTATAATTCCTTTAATGTAAGAGTACACTTACAGAGTTCATTGCAACACAATTTAGTTTGTGTGCAGTTTTTACAAAACGTTAGCAGACAGTCCTCTAAGGGCCAAACCTCCCATGGGAAGTGTTGCATTTTGGAGAAAAGAACATGTAGCACTTCCTCGGGGTTGTATGTGACACAATACATACACCTTCCAACGTAAAGAATCATTAGCAGAAATGTGCCATTGAGTTTATTTTCCGTAAGACATTTCATTATTAATTCAAAACAGGCTGTATGTCAAAATTATGCCTGGTATTCCTGCTCTGTGGATGGTATCCTGAATAAACAATTTCAGAGCTGCAGGAGAAAATATTGTAAATTCTTTTCTGCTGGGCTGCTATTGTCAGGATCTTTGTCAAGATTGCTATTCAGCTCTTCATCTATACTGTTTTAAGCTTATGTATGTGTGACAAATTATCTGTCACAAGCTTATTCTGCCTCCTAGTATGTCTTGCCGTTGATAAAATGTGTCCCTATAAAGCTGCTACTTTAAAACTGAACCTGGCAGAAAGAAAAATATATATCCAGTGCTGCCTGCAAGATGTTAATTGTTCTGGTGTTGTCCAAGGAACAGTAAGGAGAAAACACTTCTGCAGCTGGTTTGATTTTTTTGCAAGACCTAAGTTCAGTTCATCACAGAGTTACTCATTTGCTACTTCAAGATTATGGGTGGTTTCTGCTATGCTCTAAGGTGAATTTTGACTTCATGTGTTATTTTGTGTTCGGCATTAATGTTGTAGGAAAAACATTTGTAAGAAGCAATATAAAAAAATGTTAAATTAGATTATTGTAAGAGTCCATTTAGTTCCATAAACTGTATGGAAGTTTGTTTGATACCAATAATGTCTGAGTGTGGTACAGCATTATAATGGTAAGTGCATGTCTAACACAATTTAAATGAAAGTTTGCTAGAACCAAAACTTCAGGAAAAGTAGAGCTAATATGGATCTTCTCTTTGTTGTGATTTGCTAGTTATTTCCCAACAATCCATTAAAAGGCATTAGCATTATAGAAGTATTGACCAGAAATAGTGCTAAACTGTTATGACAGAAGTTTGAGGAGTATTTTAATCACTCTTTGTCCAAGTCTTTTTAAAAACTCCTGAGCTAACAGCGATGTATATAGTTACAGTGATTTTTTTAAAAGAAGTTTTCATTTCTTGTACTTTGCTACCCTACAGAGCATTTGAAGGACTGTTGTGGTTTAACCCCAGCTGGCAACTCAGCCCCATACAGCCGCTCACTCACTCCCCACTGTTGGGATGGGTAAGAGAATCAGAAAAGTGAGAAAACTTGTGGGTTGAGATACAGATAGTTTAATAGGTAAAGCAAAGCTGCATGCAGAAACAAAGCAAAACAAGGAATTCGTTCCTCACTTGCCATGATCAGGCAGGTGTTCAGCCATCCCCAGAACAGCAGGGCTTCGTCATGTGTAATGGTTATTTGGGAAGACAAATGCCATCACTCTGAACATCCCCCCTTCCTTCTTCTTCCCCCAGCTTTATGTGCTGAGCATGAACATCATATGGTATGGAATATCCCTGTCATCAGCTCTCTTGCAGCTCTCAGTGATCTGAGATCAGCTGTCTCAGCTGTGTCCCCTCCTAACTTCTTGTGTACCCCCAGCCTACTTGCTGGTGGGGTAGGGTGAGAGGCAGAAAAGGCCTTGACTCTGTGTAAGCACTGCTCAGCAATAATGAAAATGTCCCTGAGTTATCAGCTGCATTTCCAGCACAAATTCAAAACATAGCCCCATACAAGCTACTATGAAGAAAATTAACTACCCCAGCCAAAACCAGCACAAGTACTAAGTGAATTTGGAAAAGGTAAATAGGTTGTTTGGCTTCAGTTTTCATTTTGGTTGTTATATTGTGAATGTTGTTTGAAGCTGATGAAAGTGAATAAGTGAATTCTGTCTTTTACCCACAGATTTGCAGATTTTGATTTTAGGGATGAATGATGCTTGTTATGGTATGACCATGAGGGGGAGCTTGTATTTCATGAATAAAAAAGTTACATTTCTGTTTATGCAGATAATTATTTCCTTTGCA